TGATGGGTTCACCAATACACTTATATTTGTTATGTCAGTACTGACGGTTAATCTAACCGGGCAATTGACCGTCGCTATTATTGTTAAAAAGAGACCCTTACGATTTATATTGCTTACTATAGCTTTACATATATAAGAATGAAACAGCTGCCTCTTTTAGCACTGTCACCACTGACAGTCAAATCAATAGTAAAATGACTGTCTATGTTTACGGTTTTTCCAAAAGCAAATTCTGTATATGTCAAAAAGAGACATCATACATTTCATAGAAGTTTCGAGAAATGTGAAACAGCTATGTAGCTGTTATTCCGTGCGATACACCAAAAGTGTTGCGTGCTCGTGTGCAATAACTCTTTAAAGTTGTGTGTTACAAAATAAATAAAGAACGAAGGAGTTTCCAAATGTAATATACGTAAGTTATTATTAAAATTGATATATTTATGATCTATGAGAGTGATCAATTCAGAACATCCATGTGCTAAGGGGAGATGCAAAATCACAGAATGAGTCCATTTGCCATTACGCGCTACACTTTTAGCTGGACCCTTCCACTTTATGAAAGATTTTTCGGAAGGATCTTGGCATGTGGGCTTAGAAAATCTAACTCGTGCAAGAATTGAAGTCGAACGTGCATCAAGCACTTCGCACGTTCTGTCCATAATGTTACAGTTAATGGAAAATACTATAGAGCTTTGAATAATTTTTTCGTGCCTGAGTTGGAGAATGTTGATGAGTACGACGAGTCACCCAATAAAATTTTACGAATTTTCGCGATGTTTTCTACGTCTTATGGCCTTCCTGAATGGGGTGTATCATTCGTACTAGTACGGTTACGACGAAATCAGCGCTTGACCGATGAATATACTAAATTAGATTTGTCGTAACACTCTTGAAGCCATTACTTTGAATTAACAGTGCTTTTCTCATAGGAAAAAAAAATGTTTTATCAACTCAGTAAATTCACCTTATTCCATTGTAATCAAAAATAACAAATATTTTTATCCGATACTGTAGAAGAATAAATATTAATTTTAAATTATAAAATTACGCGTTTTTGTGAAAAGAATCTTGTGTAATGCATATTTTGTAAAACTCACTTTCAAAAAAATCGAACCATGAAGAGCTTCTCATCGAAGCTACGCGCGCATATTTAGAAATCCTTTACATTAGAAATGGTTAGTTATTGCTGTGTATATGTAGGTATTAGAAAGTCCTGTCTTTTAAGGTCCGCTATATTAAACTGCGAAATCAAATAATCGGTTTTGCAACACAAATTCCCTATATCCCGGATGATGCTGCGCCCAATAAATACCTACAAAAAAGTATCACAGCCTGTAAACGTATGTTAATGTAACATTGACCTATTTATACTATTATATTTGGCCGGCTTGCCATGGTTTGGCTAAATCCTCAGCCACCGTTAATTAAAAAAGTATCGGGTTTTCCAATAGGCATGATATGATTTCTATTTGTCGTTTCGGCCATTTTTAATATGCCATGATCTGTAAATTTGCTTTTATTCACCAATGTTTACGATTTCATCATGGAAAGATATATGTACGCAAGAACAACGTTTACAAATTATTCAATTTTATTTTCAAAATAATCCCCAATTGCAACTTTTCGTGCGCTTTTGCCATTTTATGGTCGTTCTGATTAAGGTGAGTGGTACGGTAAATAAACAAAACTGTCGATTCTGGTGTGAAGAAAAACCACAAATTATTCATGAACAACCATTACATTCACCTAAATTGACATTTTGGTGTGGTTTTTGGGCTGATGGAAACATCGGTCTGTACTTCTTTCGAAATGAAGCTGGTGACACCGTTACTAACAATGGAGAGCGGTATATGGCCGCAATTGGAAGAAGTTGATCTCGAGAACATCTGGTTCCAACAAGACGTGGCTACGTGCTACACAATACGTGCAACAACCGAATTATTGCGGGAAAAGTTTGAAGATTCGATAACTTAAAGAAATTGGGACATTGAATGGCCTCCACGAAGTTGTGATTTAAAACCATTAGACTACTTCTTGTGGGGTTATTTGAAGTCTATGGTCTTAAGCAATAAACCAGACGCTATTCAAGCCTCATAAGTCAATATTGAACGTTCTACTTATGACATACGACTTGATTTAGTGGAAAAAGTAGTCGAAAATTGGGTTCATCGATTTCGTTCAAATAAAAAAGAAATAAGTCGTAAAGGCCATTTTAATGATGTTATATTCAGCACTTAAATGTATCGATTGTACTTCACATTAAATAAAAAACATTTTATTATCCTCAACAATTAGAGTGCTTTTTTTTGAAAAAAAATCATATCACTTTTATTGGAAAGCCCTATACTATAACATATAAGAACCTTTTTTTTACAAAAATGATTTTGTACAGTTAAGCTTTGTTATAATTACCAAGGATTGGTGTCGTTGTTGTTGGCGGAAGAACAACAATTTTTAAGAAATTTTCTATAAACTTTAATGCTATGTGCAAGTCCTATTATGTCAAATTAAACTATGGCTCGTCCAAATATCGACTTTTTGAATAACATATTGTATAGTTTTATCGAATGATTTAAATTCTTGATGTTGGATACATACATACGTACATACGATACGTACATACATATATGCTTCATAAGGTCTCCGACGTCTCCATCTGTGTGTTACAAACTTAATATACCCTCTTTAGGGTAAAAAAAATAAGAATTACTAAGGTTGATGTAGATATTTCTCAGTAAATATATTAATATGTTCTATTTAATGCAAAAGAGGTAAAATTAAGAATTTTAAACGTATAATATTCATCGTATTTTATATGAAGTCATGGGAGAATTTATTACATCAGAGGTTAAGGAATGGAAGAAACCGGAAACGGATTTATATTCAGCAAACTACATTCTTTAAGAATATTAAACTGTCACAACCATTTCATAACTTGTGGCTAATGAAGAAACATAAAACAAAAAATACTCGTTCTTGTCCCCATGAGAGTAGGGTATACAGACTATCATTTCGGAAACATCTTTTACACATATTAATTTATAGAAACTAAGTAACTAAAAGTATTCAAAAAATAAGTAAGGAAGTTCTAAGTTCGGGTGTAACCAAACATTTTATACTCTCGCAACTTACAAGGATCAAAGCCCGGAAAATTACTTCAGGTGTTGGCAAAATTTTATATTAAAGGAAGTATTGGTCCAAATCAACCCATTTTTGACACAAATACATACTATTATCGGGAGTTTCATTTATTTACTTTATTATATGAATTTCAATAACAACTATAGGCACTGGGGTCCACATATTCAGTACCTAGGGGCTTGAACACTTTTGGTTCGATTTAGACAATTTTTGGTCCCAAGGCGCGCTTTAAACGCATTATTCACGCAAACTTTTACCCCGATACAATCATTGTTGCTTGATTTGCATGGTGGAAAGGGAAAGAAGCGGATGAAATTTAATTGGTGTTATATGGGAAAAAGGCGTGGTTGCAATTCGATTTGGTCATTTTCGCACTATAACATAGATATATGAGAAGATTGTTATGCACCGAATTTGGTTGAAATCGGTTAAGCAGATCCCAAGATATGGGTTTTCACCTAAAAGTGGGCGGTGCCACGCCCACTGACTAATTTTGAACGCGGTTCCTATAAAGTCAAACGCTTGCTCGCGCTTTTAGTAGTTTTTAACAGTACCGTTATATGGGGAGAGGGCGGGGTTGTCACCTGGTTTCACCCATTTTCACACTGTCGATAGAGCTGCTAAAAACGCTTGCTCTCAGTGAATTTAGTTATTGCAGCTTTAACGGTTTTTTAACTGCAGATGCCCCTCCCTGAGGCATTTTTGATAAAGACATTAAATGGACTGAAAAAACAAACCGAATTTTCCAATTTTCTTACCATTTAGAGATTTCGTGAGAGAGAGGTACAAAATTCGGTATAACAACGTAAAAACAATCTTACATTTAAGACTTTTTACTTCGTAAGATTGCAATGAATAAAATGTAGATATTATATAATAATTAATTTACAATTGTTAATAACAAATGAGGAGGGTCTTTTCAAAATACGATATTTACATTTTGATTTATTATACCCTGAATAGTTGTTTTAGCCATGTCCGTCTGTCTGTCTGTATATATACGAACTAGTCTCTCAGTTTTTAAGATCTTGATTTTATATTTTACACCTGCCCTTTTGTTTTCAAGGAGCAGCTCATTTGTCGGGACCGCCGATATCGGACCACTATAGCATACAGCTGCCATATTAACTGAACGAGCGGAATAAAGTGCTTGCATGGAAAACTTTTTCATTTGACGAGATATCTTCACGAAATGTGGTATGAATTATTATCTAAGGCAACAATGCAATCTCCGAAGAAATAGTTTACATCGCATCACTATAGCATATAGCTGCCATACAAACTAAACGATCGGAATCAAGGAAGGACCTGAAAGGAACCTTTTGTTGTTGTTGTTGTTGTTGTTGTAGCGACAGAATTCTGCCGAGTTGACAGTCCTTGGCCGGAATAAATCCGGGTCCGTTCCGGTTACGTAGACCCGACTGTCGTGGGAACGACTTTTTGTATTTATGAAGGGTATCATAGCTTCGGAGCAACCGAAGTAGCCGTTTTTCTTGGCATTAACTAAGTATGCAGTCTCGTTCCAAGGGCTAATATACACAATTTCGTCACTTAGATTATGATCTAAACGACATAGTTTCCAAGTAAAAAAGCTTTAAATGTGTATTCGTTTCAAAACTAAATAAAAATATATCTCTGTTCATTTCATTACATAACGTTGTCTCATTTTTGTGAAAAATAAGTTAAGATCTAGATATTATCTTTTGAAAAGACCTCCTCAAATTGTCTGTTTTTTCATGCATTGTAATGTTCAATGCATTATTTGCATTGGTTTTTTTTCGAATATTTTTCACGATTAAGTTTTAGCCCACAAATTCACAAATAGAAACATAAAAATAGAAATTAAATTTAGATCTTACCTTAAAATCAGACAGCGATGCCATTAAATCATCCAACTCTTTAGTTGCCGACGATGCGTATCCCGATGGCGGCGCTTGATTTGGCAAATAAATGTCATTCTGTACTATTTCTTTTTCAACGATGCCAACTTAAAGAAAAATAAACAAAAAACAGTTAATATTACTCTGTTGTCACTTGGATTAACATGGTTTATTTTACCTGGGCCTTCCGGCGCAAGTGCCTCAGTTTTGGTCTCACGAACTGTAATGCTAACATGTCGTCCAGGCGTCGGTGACTTGGTAAGGTTACTAAAATCAAAGAAATATAATAATGCCAATAACATAAATATAAATCGTAATAAATAGTTACCCGTTAGGTACAGCATAGTTTGAGGCATTATCCATTTCACTAAGGAGACTATCAATTGTTGGCCGCTCGTCGCTGGAATTGTAGGTATTATACTTGGAGTTTGTGTTGTAACTCGTTGGCACTATGTTTTCTATGAAAAAAAATATATATATATTGTAATATATGTATATGTATAAGTTTTATCTGTATTTAATATTTTAAAACATTTATATTTTCAAAATATTAATAACTAACTATAAAAGATTTTTTTTTTGCAAAATTTCAATGGATATGAATAGAGATCGATCGCAATTAATTACTTTAAGGATATAAGGTTTGGACCATTATCTAGACCTATTTCATTTATATTCACACAATTTATAAGAACACTTGTTCATTTAATTATATGAAAGTGTCACACATTTTGTCAGGTGGAAAGGCGGAAATTATTATACAGACTACTTGTTGAGGACAGAGCATAGATATGTTCAAGCAATTTTATAAATATATAACCCATTTAACGACATATTCGGCATAAGGTTTGTTAAAATAACCAAAATCATTATATGGTAAGTATGTAGTATATGGGAGTTGGGGTAATTCGTAGACTAAATTCACATATTTCCGGCATTAAACTATAGTATATTCAATATTATACGTTCAGTTAATTTTGCTAAGATATCTTTAGTATGGCATACGTCCAAATGGAAGTTTGAAAATCGTATATTAGGTATATGAGAGATAGGGGTAGTATTGACCCGATTTTATCTATATGTGGCAATTACCATAATAAAATTATCCCTAAATTTCATTTAGGTACCTTACATATTATCTCCAACATACATATGTATATGGTATGTATGGAGTAAAATCAACCGGATGCTTGAAAATTCAGTGATTAGTTATAAAGCAAGTTTCACCCCGATTTTACTCATTTTAGATACAAAAATGCACCATTTACACATAAAAAAAATACATCCACTTATTTTTATTAAGACAGCTCACATATTGGCCGATATAGGCGGTATGAAGTAAACCGAAAGGTCGAAATCGCAGAGATTGATCGTTATTTGCGGTAAAAAGTTAACACAAGGCGTTGGAGTCCCCATAATCGGTTACTAGGGGTTTGAACAGTTATTGTCCGATTTTGATAATTTTTAGACATTAGATGGTATACCTCAAAGGCACTATTTGTGCAAAGTTTTGTCTCGATACATTCTTCGGTGCTTGATTTGCATACTTGAAAGGGTAAGAATCATATAGAATTTAAAATTGTGTTATATGGGAAGTAGGCGTGGTTGTAGTCAGATTTCGCCTATTTTCGCACTGTAATATGGAAATGTTAATAGATATATATAATAATACTATGTGCCAAATTTGATGGAAATTGGTCGAGTAGTTCCGGAGGTATGTGATTTCACCTAAATGTGAGCGGTGCCAAGTCCATCGTCCTATTTTGACATCGTTTTATCTCCTATAACACACTCTTAAACCATTCCGGATGTAAAAATTAATGTCTCTAAAGCATTTAGTTATTGATTAATCGCACTTTCAATAGTTTTTAACAAAACCGTTATATGGGGAGTTGCCGGGGTTATCATCCGATTTCATCTATTTTCACACTGTCGAAAGATGAGAAAAATATGTATTCTGTGCAAATTTGGATAATATAGTTTGAATGGTTAAGGAGATATATACATTCAAATGATAAGGAGGCGGGGCCAATCCCACATTTAAAAAATTTGTTCAACCATGGATGAACCCACTCCAATCCAATTCTATGTACCAAATGACAGGTGCTTAGTTATGGCATTTTATAGGTTTTCGATTAATGGAATTTTGTAGGCGTGGCAGTGGTCCAATCTACAGGCCCAGGCCCTAGAGGCCTATCTACAATACAAAACTTCTTCTGGTGACCAAATAATAAGCGTACCACATCTCATCAAGATATCTTAATTTTTACTCAAGTTACAGCTTGCACAAACGAACAGACAGACAGACAGTCACCCAGATTTCAACTCGTCTCGTCAACCTGATCATTTATATATATATATATAACCCTATATCTAAGGTCTTAGGTGAACAAAACTATTATACTCTGTAGCAACATGATGCAAGAGTATACAAATTATATGGTGAATGCTTTTTTCTACCACTACAACAACAATTATACCACTATATTTCGTTGCAAAATATGTATTGGCATTAATACGAATTTATTAGGGCTTACCAATGTATAATTGTGGGTTAATTAAGAGCTTATTCTATTTTTCTTAGAGGTGAGTTTCTAGTATTCATCGTAAGGGCGTTTAATGGAAGAACCACGCGCCACAGGTTCTCTACAACTGGTTGGGCTTGATACCTAGTTAAACTTGTGTTATCATTATTATCGTAAAGGAAATATTTGGTGAAGATCAGTAACTTTCAAACTTAAGTTATCGCTACTATTACTATAAGTGTATAAGTTCAATGAAAGGATGTCACTCCCCGCCCCAACAGCTCTTGCTTTATAGCTATTGAGTTTACGAGTTATTTTTGAATTAATGATATAGAATGCTGTTGGTTTTGTTAATATTTTAACAACCAACTTCCTTTCGGTCATTAACTTTATTGAAACCATGTTTTTAGTAGCTTGCAATTTATATGGCCTATGAATACTGAGCCTCAATTACTAGCACTACTGTGGAGGAAATATGCATTTTCAACAATATGGTATTTAGTCTCTAGTACTATTATCGACGTTTTGTATATCAATTTGTCTTTTCTTAATTCTGGGGAAGCACAACGATAATAGACACAGAATTTATGATTGCTCATAACTTCTTTACACAATAAGTGAGTTCACAAATCTTCACTTTATTGGCAATATATGCTACATCGGCAACTTCTTGATAATCAAGCATAACTTCATTTCAATAAGCGCACCAATGCCCTTCCCTTACTCTAACATTAAAAGTTATTTCTATAGAGGTTTGCAACGTGTTAAGTTCGATAAGTCAATAGCTCAGAGAGTTTAGAAGAACTATTGACATGTTTTTGCATTGTTTAAGCTTTATTAAACTAATTTAGGGTTAAACTCGTACCGTTCCTACAAAATTGTTTTGTGAAACTATTTACCTTTTTTTTCATAATTACTATTATATCTAGCATTACTCAAATCCTCCAAAAGCGAATCCAGTTCCGATAGGTTTTTTGAGTTTTGTTGAACGGGAGAGCCATTGTAAGCGCCACCTGTTCGTCCAAGTGTTCCCTGATTTTGATAATTATATGACTGACCCACGGGTGACGCTCCGATGCTACTGCCCAAACCATTGTAGCCGCCAACACTTCGCGTTGGTGATGGCGCTGTTCTTGTTTCGGTAACGCTGTAGTGTTCCTGATGCACTACCTGCATTAAAATTCATGTATGTAGGGTTAAAAATAAATTTAAGTTTGTAATAAAAATTAATAAGTATTTTCAAGCACTCACCGGTGGCGGCGCTGCTTTACCACGCAAACTGCCATAGCCTGAGCTATCGCCATAGTTAATATTTGAGGTATTGTACTGTGGTGGACGATTGCCGGGCACGCTGCTCTGCAGATCGGCGAGAAGTGCGTCTGAAAAAAATGCCAAAAATTATTTTATAAATAATTGCATTAACTTAAAAACCAATATTGCTATAAACGACTATATTATTATTTCCCCCACTTAAGTTATCATAATCGCCGTGACTCATATTTTCTGGTAAAAACAACAGAAATAGGGAGACGTTTAAAACGGACACTTTAACTTTTTAACTGATGGAGTATAAATAACTGCAGTGGCGATAAAAAGTAAACGAAAACCTGTCAACGATAACTGTAGTAATTTGTTTATCTTCCAACTGAGGTGCCATATTCTACCATTTTAGTTTTCATGAAGCAACCCATTAAGAAAGCGTCGACGCACAATTGCGAAAGCTATCAAGTTTAAGCTTTTTTAATTTAATTTTCCGCATATCGATTTACTTCTCGTGGAAAAAAGTGTATACGCTCTCAATTTTAGGTCACAGGCTTTTACGTATACAATTTTTTAAATTAAAAAGTTCTCTAACTTTACACAAATTAATTAATTGTTATTTCATAATTTGCTTTAATAATTCCCGAATACATAGCATATTCGCAAAGTCAGTATTACCGACCACTTTCGCGTTTATTTGTTTTGTTCTACGCTTTTGATAGCGTGTTATCAGTAGATACCTGTTCGTGTGGCTTGGGTAGGCGGTCGTTTATTTTGGTACGCTTACGATTTTTTGTGTTCATTTCAGTTACACTATAGCTTTTGTATATATTTTTAGTAAGCTATATATACAAATAAATATACATACATATGTAGTTAAACAAGTTACGCTCATTTTGATTTCATAGCGAATTATCTCATAAGTGGAATTTGTGACGAACAACTTTGAATTATTTCAAAGTTCGATTGCGATCTTCGCGCTCTGTCTAATATAATAATTATTAATAAGAACTATTTTTGGTTAAGAATATGGCTAATGAAATTACATACATCTGAGTATGTGCATATATAAATACAACATTTAGACTAAGTAATACAAATATGTTTAAAAACTTAATTAACATATTGAATTCTTTTCAATATTTTTTCATAATTTGCATGAAAATATCGGCATATATTATGGATTTTACACTAACAACAATCAATATCAAACAATATATGCAACAACAATTTTAAGATCCTCTATGAACCCATGAGCAAATTAGCTTAATATTAAGTTTGTAACACCCAGAAGGAAACGTCGGATACCCTATAAAATACATACATAAATGATCAGCATGATGAGCTGAGTTGATTTGGCCATATCCGTGTCTGTGTATAGACAAACTAGTCCCTCAATTTTGTCTTTGCCTCACTAAGAAGCTAGTAATTTGTCGGAACGGCTGATATCGCACCACTATAGCATATAGCTGTCATACAAACTGAACTTTTTAATTTGACGAGATATCTTTCTGAAATTTGGAACGGATCATTATCTAAGGCAATAATGTATTCTCCGCAGAAATTGTTCAGATCAGATCACTACATCATATAGCTGCCTTTGTATTTGTGAAGGGTACTATAGCTTCGATGCAACCGAAGTTAACGTACATTTTTATTTATAAAATACAAAAAATATTTGTATACATGTTGGTTTGTATGTATGTTGGTTCGTGAATTGTACCGTAGGCTGGGGCTTTATTATACACTTTTCTACATATTTGTCGTTTACCATAAAATGTTTGTTTCTACTATAAAATTGATCTAAAATTTGTCGTTTTCTTAAAAATCGCTCTTTATTTTGGCGTTGACTTCTTCGGATTCGGGTACAACAAAAAGCCGCTGGGTGGGTTCCAGCGAATACAGAGAATGTTAAATTCAAATTGATGCAATTTGTTATCATTGCACATTGATTTCGGACACATTTTTTTGTCTAGCTGCAACAGTACTGCTTTTGGACGCAATTTCATCCTACATACAAGTATGTTCCAAGAACGTTAGTTCCTGTAAACATCGCCACTTTACGAGCTGACTCTTACGTCTTTCCATGCTTCGGTATTCTACATACATATGTAGTCCAGTGTACTCGGATGACTGTGAGCTGAGCTGAACTGAACTGGACTGAGATTTTTTTAACCATTTTTTTATATTTGGACAGCTCCAAACACTGCTGAGAATTATTAATTCGTGTAGCACAAACTTTGCGCAGAGCTTTCTCATACCCAAATACTCATTAATCATATGTCGAGCATGGTCTTTGACGCCATAAGATTAATAGTAATTTCTATCAACATCATTTTAAGTCCATTGAAAATGACTTAATGGGTTTTTTATAGTTTCGTCCAGAATTTTTTGAACGTTCACAGCGAAAATCTTAGCACATACTGCCCTTGCAATTATTAGCATAAAAGTGGTTATCCAGCCCCCTAATGGCATCAGCACCTGCCAGCCAGCCTGGTATAACCCATTTTCTCACTAGAGAAGCATTATAATTCTAATGACAAACACAGTTCGCCTTAATTTACAATATTTTGCTTGCAAGCTAGCAATAAGCGTGTTTATCATATTAAAAATTACATTGGGTATTTTACAAAGGATAAAAAAAATCTAATATAATATCTTCTGCAGTTGCATTTTTTTAGCGAAAAAGGGTATAAAAAGATCTTTATATTTATTATGTTCATATGGCAGCTATATGCTATCGTGGTTCCATCAATATGTTTGGAGATTGTAGCAATGCCTGAGAAAATCTATGCCAAATTTTGTGACGATATCTTGTCAAATAAAAAGTTTTTCCATACAAAGACTTGAGTTTGATCGGTCATTTTTTATGGCAGCTATGTATACGTTATAGTTTTCCGATCTAAACAATTTATTTGTAAATTGTAGCGACGCCATTGGGTCATAATCTATGCCAAATTTGTAAAAATACCTCTTCAAATTAAAAAGTTTTCAATACAATGATTTGAGTTGGATCAGTCAGTTTGTATGATATCTATATGTATAGTTGTCCGATAGCGGCGATTCTGACAAATGAGCAGCTGCTTGGTGAGAAAACAACGTGTGCAAAATTCACGTCGTTATCTCAAAAGCTGAGGGACTACTTTGCGTATATACAGACGGACATCATTTACATATATATTTTATAGGCTCTTCAACGTCTCCTTTTGGGTGTTACAAACAGGTTCAGGGTATAAAAATGTAAAATAACAGAAACTATTATATTATATATACTTGTATGTATGTAGTAAACTCAAAAATCAAGAATTTTTTTATATATAAGTTTTTAAAAACCTCAATGCAAGTTTTAATTGAGTTTGAAAATTTTTATATTACATTAAATATAATAAAAAACGATTATAATTTTTTTTTTTTTAATTTAAGCGTCATACAATCTATCATAAAAAATGTTTCGAAACTATTCTCAAAATTTAAATATTATATTTTGATTTTCGCAAATAATCTTATTTTTAGATGAATTTTAATATGTATTGGGCTTGAAGTGAAACAGTTTTCAATACTCGAACTATATAACTGGTATGCGGACAATTGGAAAAAATATGAAAACTACTTAGGCAAGTAGCTGCATTCAAATATAACAGATCAAAGTTGTGTTATTCGTTTAAACTTAGTGGTGAAATCTATAAAAGCATGTTGACCGAAAAATACTAAAATATAATTAAATTTTTCGACTTTTGTTCGAGATCACAAATCAACAGCGAGCCGGATATTTTGTATTCTGTTAGACTTAAACTTAAACTTTTAAACTAACTTTATAAGAAAATATTAAATCTTAAATTTATTGATACACTATATCCAACTCCAAGGTAGATATTCTTTACAAGTTCAAAATGAAATAGAATCCAATTGGTTATGACTTAATAGCCAATGATATATAAATTCGAACACGTTTTAAAGGCAATCGCAACATACCTAGTACAAAGTACATAAGTATATGTTTTCATTATACATAGTATTATGTACATACATACTCGTACATTCCAATTTTGTGCTGCCATTCAATTGGAAAGTGAACTTACCCAAACGCCTTTCGAACTCGCCCACTTTGAAAGCATCATTTGGCGGACTTAAAATCGATGACGAATATAGCTTAGAAGACATTCTCAAATAATGAAATCACTGTAAATATATTCACGCGTTGGCGGAAAGCACTATGAGTTAACGGTTATAAAACAAATATTTCGAAACCGCGAGCATAATAAACAGAAAACGTGTATTTTAGAACAACGTAAATGGAATTAGAACAATATTTAACGAGCATTTGAAAAAAAATATTATTAAGTTATGCTGAATAGCGCACATCTGACCAATTATGAGATTGGGTTACATGCTAACGACTTTCTGCAAATGGTCACAAGGCGAAGCACTCACAAAGTATAAACGATGTAGAAGAACAATAAATTCACTCAAATACTCCAATTTGGCGTATTTCTGGAACTTTAAATATTTTCTAGCATAATTAGTTGATATCAGACACGGAAGCTGTTAATGTTCAATACTGCAAAAACAACAACGATTATGTTATAAGAAGAATAGAATGAACGATTCTATAAATATTTGACATACGGGCATAGTATTATCAGGAAAGGTTTTTTTCCGAATTTTAATCTCCCAGATTGACCTATATTTTCGCTAAAAATGTTCGCTGTCTGGGATCCACACATATTCGTTATCTAGGGGCTTGAACATTTCTAGTCCGTTTTTGATAATTTTTGGTCATAGGTGATAGAATCAGATGGAATTTAAAATTGTGTTATATGGGAAGGTAATATTACATACCAAATTTGGTCAATATCGGTGGAAGAGGTCCTGAGGTATGGGTTTTCACCTAAATGTGGGCGGTGCCACGCCAATCGTCTTATTTTGACCCCGGCTTCTATATTGTCATCTTGTACCATCTCGGATGCAAAGTTTAATGTCTTTGGCGTATTTATTTATTGATTTATGGTACTTTTAATACTTTTTAACAAAACCGTTATATGGGAAGTGGACGGGGTTATCATCCGATTTGATCCAAGAAAGAAGAGCTTAAGAAATTTATCCTGAGCGAATTTGGTCA